ATCTCAAACCCATTCTGCCTCGATAAATATAACTTTCTTAAACAATACAGACTTAATATATAACTTAGAAACTATTTATAATAACTACAGGCCACGCGAGGGTTTACATTGAAACTCGTGGAGGTACCGCATTGGGGCGTTAGGGGGTGGCATCTTGGCTAGCACGATCTCACCAATGAATATTGCCCTTGTGTACTCGATGTATACAGATAACTTGTTTCGTTTCACAAAAGCCTTGACGATCAAAAATTCAAGTCAGAGGTCTTTGAATTTGACAAAAAAAACTACAAAAAAGGTATATGAATATTGAGAACGTTTTTGCGTTTAGTCGTGCAGGGACGTACTCTGAAAGTGTTTGGTCACAGACACTATTCAAGTTATTTATTTTGACTTCGCTCGTCAACGTAAATGTTATTTTATAGTAGCAGTAGACAGTTACTCGAACCAGTGTCTGTTGCCAACCCGGGGCTGCCGCGCTTATCGAATCCTATAATTACAGACCGAGTCAGTACGAATTACGTACGAGTACGAGATTTTACGAATTTTTCTATACGTTGGTTGCAGATTTTTGCACTGTGTTTTAAACGCGGTTTTTGCCGTCAGCGCATAGTTGGTTCGAATCCAGGCTTTTGTTTAATAATTGATGTAGCAAATCGCTACAAATCCTATTGTGTATATTTTATAATAGTCTTTTTTAAGCTTAGTTTTGTATTTAAACCCTAAATTTAAATGTGCTTGTTTTTGGCGCCTTTTTGTTGACTTTTACTAGTGTTGGTTTGCTGTTTTTTGCCGTGACAGCTACGTGGTGTTTTTCCAATAACTTATTAAAAGCTGTAAGTACATTCTTTTGGTCTTGCTCACTCGTTATTAGCTTCCACCCCATTGACTTACAATTATATGGACGTCGGGACCGCGCTAAAAAGTGTCCGAACTTATAGGGCGTTAAAATCGTATACAGAGCGTCATTCACGCTTTAGACTTCGTTTGTTCGACTGACAGCGAAGCAAGCAAAATTAGACAGTACAACGATGACATTACAATTTAAATTCAACGTTTTAGCTTTTTCATATTCCTTTACATGTCACTACGTTTAAATAGGTTGACTTGGGACATTTTTTTCGTGGTTTTTGTATTAGACCCGTCGTCCATTTATTTGTAAGTCAATGTTCCACATTTACCCTTTCACCCATTGATACAGTCCGCTATAATTACTATTATTATGATAGTACAACATCATGATATTCAACATAAATGTTGCAAGTACACGCTATTTATATCCGACAATAAAGTTCCATTTCCATTGAGAAGCAATCGCGAAAACCTAAAAACTCGACAAAAAATTGTCATTTAATTCAATTTTACTAAATGCATATCTGTTACATAAATAAGCAGAATTGGCTCTGCGAAAATAGTACTTGCTGCTATAATGCTTTGTTTAAGAATCTGGTTTCATACGTTTTTTTCTAGCATTTAAGACGATGTCTCTTTATATTCTGTCAAGGTCAAGGTTACCGCGATCAATTGTCATTCTAGACATTCAATAGCGGCCTTTACACAGACACTCTATCGCGCGTGATTCCGCGATTGAGTGCGCGTGTAAAGACGTCAAAAGAAAAAGGGACAGACCGCGCGATCGCACTCGTCAGTCGCGCACTCCTATACGCGTCAGTTTCACGCGGTCTATCCTGCGCCATTAGCCTTTACAGTGTAAGGCTAATGACGCAGGATAGACCGCATAGTTTCCCAAAGTGGTCCCTGTGGGCGCTGAAGAGTCTTGGAGAACTGGGAGGCGTTGATGGTCTCCAGGGAGTGCTACCGCATTTGAAAAAAAAAACTATATAAACTACATTTATACTATACTATATATATATATATATATATATATATATATATATTTAGTGTGTGTGTGTGTGTGTATCAATTATTTTTGTGGGGGGTGGGCATTGACATTTTTTTATCTTGCCTAAGCGGGCGGTGTGCCAAAAAGTTGAGAACCTATGCTTTACACGGACGCTCTTTGCGTTGTAACAAAAACGGACACCAGCAATCGCGCGCGACAGAACGTTAGGTTAAAAAATTTCAAACAGGCAATGATAGATAGATAGATAAGCACTTTATTCACTAGTGTGACACAAATACAGATTGAATACAACAGGAAGAATAAAACATTTTTGTCATAGCAGTGAAAAGGGATGACTCGCATATGCCTAGGATCCCTAAGGCGCTAGTTTTCAGTCAGAACCAACGAGAGGTACTAAATCTAGAAGTTATTTGTAATAAAAGATCTAATAAACGACTAGGAGGGAAATTGTGCGTGAATAGAGCATCTGAAGTAACCTATTCAATATGTAAGTGCATGTGCGGATTTGAATATACATAACTTTAACTTTTAACTGCCTCCGTGGCCGAACGGTTACCATGCCGGACTGCCATGCAGAGGTCCTGAGTTCGATTCCCAGGCCGGGAGAAATCTGTGTATGGCTTACATTTATTCCTCTCGTGAGTTTGGGTGTAATTTGTGGTTGTCTATGTGTGTGTCCATGGCATCCGCGACCCAGGGTTTCCCTAGTGCGGGGCTATGTTGAGTGTGTGCGTTATTATTATTATTATTAATGCATGCTTTCCCGCGCACAATCCTGTGAGTCTCTTAGGAGCTTTTAAGCAACCAGGCAAGTTCCATGCAATTACCACTTACCACCCGGTCCCAGTCATATCCGTAAACTGAGTGTTATTATACGGTATATATCAACGAACAACAATTTTGTATGGCTAATTAAACTTTGCTAGTTTGACGATGCCAAACAACCTCTTTAACTTTCGCAGTTAACTCACTAACTACCGTATTTTGTCGACTCAGATTTCAAACGCAAACATTCTTCGCTGAATGTGGTGCTAACAATTTGATACTTTGAATTGCAGTAGTTTTTCTTTAAATCTAATATCAAGTGACGGGATGAATAAGTCGTGCGTCTGATGGTTAGCTACACGCCTGTCCATAACAGTTGCAGTGCCACAAATCGCAAAGATCTGAGACATGAGTCGACAAGTCCCATGTGCCAGTTGATTTCAGCGCCCTTACCCTTCAAAATCGGAACGCAGTAATGCTGACATTACTGCTTGGCGGCAGAAATAGGTAAGTTGGCAGTACTTCCCTGGACAAACTCGCACGCTCGTCGGCGATATGCTCGTTAGCTTTCCCCGTCCTTTCTTTCGACAACTTCTTAAGATGGCGAAGAGATTTTTAAATGACTACTTTTTACGTATAGGAAATTAGTTATTAAGTAAATTACAGTTACTATATTTTTTCAATTGCATTAGTAATTTTAATTTATTATAATTCTATCTTAATTTCATATCATTTTATCTTAATGTTAATTTAAGCTGGTGGGTGTTTTGGATAAGCTCTGTAAGCCCACTCGCACTATTGAATATAATACTTTTAATACTTTTTATTTCTCCACAAAATACAACAACAAATAAGAAGTACATAAACAATCTTTACAAATCTTTGGAAAACATTTGTAATAAAACCTACACATCTTCGAGTCCTGCATATTGTTATGTATTATACGCACCAGAGTTAATTTACAAATTATAATTGTCGTTCAAACCGACCATTGTATGTAAACCGACCATACTTATTATCATACACAGCCATACAAGTGTCATAGGTGTTTATATACATACAGTCGTACATAATGTAATGCATAGATTAATATGTAACCACAGACATATATCTAGATAGACGCCGCAAGTACAGCAATTTGTATGGAAACCAAGCGTGCCACATTTTTTCTACCCACTATGACGTCACAAGAACTATTTAGTGATGAACTTCCTTCCGCTCGCTGTAAATCTAAATCGATTGATTGAACGGAATACGCGTAAACATTTTTGTTCAAGTATTGCTTATCGAGTTCTTAGGTTTTCGCGATTGTTACACATAGGAAATGAAACTATTTTTCCGGATTTAAATCGCGTATATTTGTTTTTTCAAACAAACCGACGTTTCGGGCCCATTACAGGTCCCATGGTCACGGTTGACTGATTTTTTGTTTAATAATATTAGACATAACTGGTTGAAGACTGTACCACTTCAGTTATAGAATATTTTTATAATATTGCTAAGGTCATAATAATTTTCGTCCCTTTGTTTTCAAAATCGATCAGAATCGAGAACAGTGTTGCCTAACGTATATACATCACTAAATGTTAAATTTGGCCAAAAAAAAATGTACAAGCGGCCGTATCACGAAACTGAATGCGTTATACAAAAGTGCGTTCGTTCGATATTCATGGCGTATTAACAAAGGATCACAAATATATCGCACCAAGTAAAAGCCGCAGTGTATTACAAATCATGAGGCATACACTCTGTTGCATATTTGTTTTCTCGAAAGTCTTCAAAATCACTTGCCCGTTTGAAGGAAACGTCTCTGTTTACCCATTCACTCACAGTTATGGTGCTTTTGCAGTTTATAATGGCACAATTATGCATTTTTCACGTTTCCGACTGGTGTTTATCTGCGATAACGGTCGAGCGTGTTCTGAAGTGTAACAGCGGCAAATAAGTGAATTCCACTTACTCTGGGCACGCGAAGTACATACACTTGCGGCGTCTATCTAGATATATGTCTGTGTATGTAACCTTTGGGTACCTTACCTTTTTTTTGTATGCATGTTACGCGATAAAATTTGTGAACCGATTTTGATAATTCTCTTTTTTGTTGGAAAGAGGGTATCTCAGTACTTAGTGGTCCCGTTTGAATTTGAAGAAAATGTCCCACCTTTAAGGGTGGCAAACTAGGGGATGAATCCGATGTCGCACCCTTTCCGGCAACCGATTTCAATAAAACTTGCCAAATAGATGTAATTCCACGAATTTTTGAGGCTGATTTTCTTAGTACGCTGTACTGAGATTATGAAGTATAATTTAGTGTTATCTTTTATTCTGTTTTAAGTAATAATAAAATAAATGGTTTTAATTGTTTTATCTACAGATGGACAACTTACTGCGGCCGTGCGCGGACCTTGGCCTGCAGTCCAACTCGCTGATCGAATGGAAGTTTGAAATTGACAAACAGGTATGTATACATATAATTTAATAGTATAAACCTTTATTAGACCCCTTTTTGCAGTGGGTGCAGGGTCCTATTCGTGCCACACAAGCTCCTTCAGGAATCTCAGCAATCTCCTAGGTTTGCTGAAGATTTCGGGGAGCGACCTCGGCACTCCAAGGTATTTAGCCCTGTAGCTGGCCACGCCGGAGTACTGTAGTAGGATGTGCGCGGCCGTTTCCTCCCCCTCCATGCGCGCTCTGCATAGAGGGCTGTCCGTGATACCTAAATTGAAAAGGTGTTTATTGTATGGACCACGACCCGTTAGGGCGGCAGTTAGAGTGAGAAGCTAGTTTTAAGTTTCATTAATTTTCGAGATAGACTAGCGTTCTGGTCTACAAACCGTAAGGGTTGTCCATGTGTTATTATGAAAACATTTTGTACTTTTGTGTATTGTTGTTCTTGACCACTGGTAGGGAGGGACACTATCGGTTCTGGTCTTACAGCGTCCGTCTCCGACCCTTTTCTGGCTAGTTCATCTGCTGCGTCATTGCCGCTGTGTCCTTTAATCCACTATAAAGTTACGTGGTTGTGTATACATACCTCCAAGAGTGTTTGATGGCATTCGTAAATGAGTCCTGAGTTTATGTCATAGCTGTTCAGTGCTTGGAGTACTGGCCGATATTACTCCGGTTTTTTTTTTAATAACGCACACGCTCAACATAGCCCCGCACTAGGAAACCCTGTGTCGCGGGTGCCATGGACACACATATAGACAGCCACAAATTACACCCAAACTCACGAGAGAAATAAATGTAGGCTATACAAATATTTCTCCCGGCCCGGGAATCGAACCTGGGACCTCTGCGTGGCAATCCAGCATGGTAACCGTTCGGCCACAGAGGCAGTTCAAATTATAGTAGTATAATTTGTTGTTTGAAGTAGTATTATAGTAGTATATTATTCCATTTCGGTAATTTAGGGGCCAAATGAAATCCGCGTATATGTCGTGGCAACCAAATTAGCGCGATTTACGGGAATCTATTGTTATCAGTCTGTAGACAACATAAATTAATACTTACTGTGCAAAATAGAAAAGTCGTAGCCATTGAAATAACAAAGTAATAACTTTAAATCGATCTCCTGTGAAATTTGGTTTGGTGGAGATACGCGCTTTTTACGCAATGTATGTCTCTATTTTTATATATTTTTTTTATAAATAAATATTCATATTTATCTCCACAATACTGTCTCTGTGGCCGAACGATTACGATGTTGGTCTCCCTGTGTGTTTGTGTAAAGTCCTCTATTTTTCATTATTTAAGTAGTTATTCGTTTTTTTTTATAGTGCCATAATATGTAATATTCGAGTATTGTACCGTGAAATATTAATTAATAATTACTCCATAATATATTAGAAATTAGGTAGTGAACAATAGTCGAGAATGACCCTATTATACTAATATTACAATTTATTTCGGCATTGTATGTTAATTTTAACTCTATTTTGTTATTCAACCGTGTGTGTATCTATGTACTTGTAATTTACAGATAGACCACGTAGTTCTCGGCCGCGGTCCCCCTGGCGGCGCCTGGCACACGTTCCCCCCGACCGTCCGCACGCTATCCCCTGGCGCCTGGCTGTCTTTACCCCCGCACTCCGCAGCGGGGGTAGGCCGGCTCTCCGCTAGGGCTGTCGCTAAATACTGCAGGAGATATGTTCATGCGTGCAAATTACAGGTAATTTCAATGTGTCTTTACGTCGTTATTAACCCGATGCTTGATCCTCCTTACTCTGGCACAAACATATTGGTAACGCATTTTTTTATCGATCTAGTGTGGTTTGCATTAATATTAGACCTTCCAATAGTTATTTTGATAGGTATGTAACAAAATTGAGTATTTCATCCATTGACTTACAAATAAATGGACGACGGGTCCAATACAAAAACCACGAAACAAATGTCCCAAGTCAACCTATTTAAACGTAGTGACATGTCAAGGAATATGAAAAAGCTAAAACGTTGAATTTAAATTGTAATGTCATCGCAGTACTGTCTAATTTTGCTTGCTTCGCTGTCAGTCGAACAAACGAAGACTAAAGCGTGAATGACGCTCTGTATACGATTTTAACGCCCTATAAGTTCGGACACTTTTTAGCGCGGACCCGAACGTCCATATAATTGTAAGTCAATGATTTCTTCGGATGTTTATTAAATTGTAAAGAGAAGGGTATGCCATTAATAATGGAAAACATTATCAGTCAATATACAATATACACCATATTCGTTTCATGAAATTTTCCATCAACTATTGACACATTTGCGGCTGTATGTACTCGACAACTTCACGAATTCCATCTTTGAGGTCTTGAATCGATTGTGGGTCATTGGCATATACCTTATCTTTCACGTAGCCCGAAAGAAAAAGGGCCACAGGTGTTAAATCACAAAATCTCGACCAATGGTGATCGTCTATTCGAGAAATCACACGGCCAGGAAACTTTTCACGCAAAAGAGCGGATTGGATATATGGATGGAGCGATTTATATGCTATTTAGATACGATAAAATTTATATTTATTGCATTTCCCTCCACTCCAGAACTTTGTTATGCCATTGTCAACCCTATCAACATGAGCACGGGACTCAAGGAGAGAGCTTAAGGCACAGTCCGCCACACTGACCTAATGCAAGTTGGGGAATTACACGTTTAATTCAAAGTCAAAGCTTTTAGACAGTATCCGTAATAATGATAGTTACAAAAATCTTATAACCTACGTTACTAAGGATGTTGTCATATATATTACATTAGATTATAAACACCCGGACACATAAATTGAGCCATCTTGGATTTTTATTCTTAAAGGGCAGTACACAAAAATATTGTTATCACTGAACAAAACATTTTTCCCCGATTTTATAAATTCAAATTTTCACTACGCCGTTCGTTACTTATTATTTTTTTACAAAATTTCTGTAGTGCTAAATGTAAAAAATGCTAAGATCGGCGGGCGGCGTTACAAGATTAGGCCACGTCAAAAACATCCACATCAGAGGCAGTTTTAAAGTGAGGTCTATCTGATCATATGACAAGGAAAGGCCTTGACATGAGTAGCCAGCCCAAGAGACGTAGTAGACATGGATATCCCTTATTAATAAAGATCTGCGAGAGCATTAGACCACAGACGACCCAGGACAGGCCGTCTTGGAGAAAAGTGACCAGAAGGGCCAACCCCAATTAAATGGGAAAAAGGCCAGGCAAACGAAGAAGACAAAATTTCTATTGTACCGAAAAGCTACGTTTTTACAAAGTATATATATGAAGCAGGAGTTTCACTTGAAGGCATTAGAAAGCCCTCGGCTGAGCTGTCAAAACAGCCCGGACATTGTATGCCACATGCCACTAAACCATAGGTTCCGAAACTTTTAGGCCCACTTGGGCAAGATAAAAAAAATTTCAACGTCAACTACAAAATATAATTGAAAAACACTCATTTTTTAAATTAACTTAACACAAAAATCACAAAGAAAAAAATATCATCAAAGTCAGTCTGTCATCTTCGGTCGGTCATACTAAAATGTCCAAAATGACATTTGCAGCGTTTCTTTCGCTCGGGCGTGGTAGTGAGCAGCGTGCGTCTCTTGCCGCGTCCAGCCGGCCCGCCCTGCGCCGACGCAGCCTGCCCTTTGCGCGCCAAGTTCATCGTCGAGGGGTACGCAACAGTTTTATATTAATCAGAGTATTAACCAGAGAGCACCTTGTGAAAGCGTTCGTCCAGGGAAGTACTGTCACCTTACGAGCATTACTGCTATCCGGTTTTGAAGGGTAAAGGTGCTGGAGAAATTACATGGACTTGTCAACTTATGTCTCAGGCGGGACGGGCGCAGTGGCAGTGCCCCTCAAATTTTTGCGATTTGAAGTTTATTTTTTTCTTTTTACAACCCTTTGAATGATCTTATGGCTAATCCTGGCGATGATTTAGAGATGGATCTATTTGATATCGAACCCACCAGCGCCACATTTTCTCTCTTTTATAGTTATAGTCATAGTAATTCTATTTTATTTGAGGTTTTATTATGCCCAAGTACGTTTTATTAATATATTGTTACAAAATTGTTTACTCATGAATGGTCATGTTGTATGTACATGTTTAGGTTTACATTCTAGAGTAGAACTAGTAATAATGTTTAAGATTTACATCTAATAAATAAATAAAGCTCTGTGCAGCACTAGAGTTTTTCTGCGATTTTCGAGATTTGCGCGAAAGTTTCAAGAAAAGAAGAACAACAGTAGGTCTCAAGTAGGTCTTTCGACACCTAATGTTGGCACGCGTCTGACACTAACTAACCACTTCTACTGTATTTATTGTTCTGTGGTGTCTCCAGGTACGACCTGTCCGAAGGGCGTGCGTTTTCGTACGCTGCGCGTTATGTGGTGGTGGCTTGTGGCGGCGGCGACCGCCCGAACACTCTCGAGCCCGACGTGGCCAAGTACGCGCTGCACTCGCTCAGCAACATCGAACGGGCGTTGCACGTTCTCAGTGGACATTGTAAGAGCCTTATTACATACGCTATGTACCGACGAGTCCGATCTAGGCTATACCGATCGCTAGAGGTTCACTCTAAGCCACAAGGGGTCCATGTCAGCGAAAAAATAGAAGATGCATTTAGGCAGGGTGCCACATTATACAATTAGTATCTATGTATGTACGTACATAATACTTTCTTATTATAAACATAAACTATATATGCAATTGATGAATTTGTATGGTCTGTCTTAATAATAATAATATCGTTTATTGCAAAACATGTTGTTACATTAGGTCTTATAGTAGTTGGTAAAGTATCAAATATTATTACAATATCAAATATTAGTACATAATATTATTACAATGAAAATAAATAAATCTAAGCAAATATATTCAGAAAGTCAAGTGATTTAATTTTAAAATGATTGTCAAATTTAACTTTAAAGTGTTTTAAAAATAAATCAATTTATTTATTAGTAATTAATAAATTAAAAATTAATTACTTATTAATTATTCGTCAATATATCTTAGTATTGTATAATAATAATAATAACATTTGTCAATTAAATCTTCGTAATAATTGCGATTATTTACTCCGTGATATTATTATTCTGCATTTATTTTATTAAATTACATAATCATATTTTTATAACACAGATAACATATTAACATTGCATTTTTTTATAACATTACTAAAAACTCCTGCATAGTAGCATTTTTGGGACAGATGTTTACTAAGTTGGTTTTTAAACATTTTTAGGCTATTTATTAATTTAAAAAAGTCAGGGAGTGCGTTATAAATTTTAATTGACATAGAATACGGACCCAAGTTGACCATTTGCAGTTTTGAAACTGTGCTAGCCTGCATTTGGGTCTTAATGTTTCTGAACGACAATTTTTGAAAATGGACATTTCATTTGAAAATGAAGTAAAATGACAGTTCATTGCGTAAGTGTTGCCCGCTTGCAAGCAGCTAGTGAGTGCAGTCGATAATTCTATCGATTATCTACTTAATGTTGGTCACATCGGCCCATTATTCGTCCAACTGTTGGGCACAGGTTCATTTGAATTGTCAATTTTTGTAAGTTTTCATACATAAAATTGATTTCGATACTAGTAGGCCAACTGTCAAAATAAGACTGAAGAAGGCAATAACGTAATTAGAACGTCGTCATAGTCACAGTTCGAACGTTTTTGGCAAAATTTTACCTTATTTCACAATCTATCGATAAAACTGTCGACAACAAATACATGACTATTTAAAATTTTATGAAAACATGCAACCCTGTGAACGTCATTTTACTCGATCTTCAAAAAGGACAGAAATCATTTCAACGGTTAAATTTGAAAACCTCATACGACTTGGACTTGGACGAAAACCCTTTTTTATTCTTCAAGCACAATATCAGCACTTAAAGCTTAAAATATAATTTCTACCAAAGGTTGATTACACCTTTATTTTGGTCATAAAATAAAGGTGTAATTATAGATTTTCATATAACATTAGTTCTAGTAATTCTGTTTTTGGTGCCTATTCAAAAGTTCAAATTAATAAAGGTGTCAAACCTTCTAAATTTTGCCGACGTTTGTAAAAATAGCGTTCGGTAATTAATAATCATAGTTTCCGAGTTTTCATGATCTTCAATGTTTATTCATTACATTCTCACTTCTTTTAAACAAATAAATAAAGCTCCTGTCAGGGCTCCGTCACTCACTCAAGGTTACAGGATAAGTGCCTACAACTGAGTGCACTGACGTCGGCGCAAGCGCTCATACAAGTCTTTCATGTATGAGGATTCGGCTCCGCATGACTGCTCACAGCGGGCAACGCTATTTTCACCTCTCTGAGCGCGTGCTTAGGTTTCTTTTTCCTAGTAGTGAACGCCTGGTGTCATTAATCAGATTTAGTAGGCTATTATAGTGTAGGTATTTTCGATTTTGTATGCAAGTGACGTATCTGTTACGTAGTAACTATTAAGTAATCTGTGCTCCGCACCTGTGAGTTGGCAAGGTACTTTGTTTAAGAAACGTACGGCATGTCATCATCAAACAGTACTTAAATGTAATCTAAGTTAACACATAGAGGACAATTTTTAGGTCATAACACTTTATAATGCGATGTTGGAAAGCAAAGTTTCGTTGTCAGCCAACAGGTTTTTGTCGCGATAGTTACCTCTGACGTTGTCCGTTGCAGCGTCCGCGGCCCGCGCGTCGGTGCTGATCGTGGGGTCGGGCGTGTCGGCGGCCGACGCCGTGTGGCTGGCGCTGCGCGCCGGCCTGCGCGCGCGCCACTTGCACCGCGCGCCCGCCGACGCCCTCGCCCGGCTCAACCCCAGCACCTACCCCGACTACTGCCAGGTTGGTGCGACGCGGGCAGCCACGGCCTTACCGCCCTTCACGTGCACTCGGAACTTAGCCGTGTGCGATTGTTACTAAAAACATTCGAGTTTCTCTTTAGTCGTCTTTACCGAAAAATAATCGAATTTTCGTAATTACTATTTACATTTTCGGTTTCTAGAAAAACGTCCTTACTATGTGCTACGGAATGGAAAAACAAAAAATCGATCCATTAATTATTTATCAACATTATTTTATTATATTTGATCAACAATCAAAAATTAGTTACTAGTAGGTTAGTAACTATTTCGAATCATAGTCAATATTTGATCAACAATCAAAAAGTGAAGTGTAAGACATTAATAAGTAATTGATATCAAGAATCGAATTATTTCAATTATCTTTTTTATCGAATAATTCCATTATTTTTAGTAACTATCGCCCATCGCGAAAATATACAGATCGAATTTTTAATACAGCAAAATAACGCTGTGGCTCATCCGCTCTGAGTCTATACACGGAATTTAAAATCGGAACATAAATAGCTTTGTAAATCAGTCGTCCAGTCCCGCCCGCAATAAGGTAATTTTCAGGTTTGTTTTCTCTGTCTAATTTCGGTGGCAATTTTTATTATTTAAGTATTCCAGTATATTATCGTGAAATTTTCAATAATACTTCAGTATACTACACTCAAGTATTAAGAAATATTTCATGATAATATTCTATATTTAAATAATAAAAATTACCACCGAAATTAGGCAGAGAAAACTATCTTGAAAATTAATTATTAAAGCCACATCTGATAACTTAAACTTGTTTTTCCACAGGTGTACAAAATGATGTGCGACGGGCCGTCCGGAAACCATCCAAACTACACACCATATCCAGAACATGTCATCTTGGAAGTCGTCCCGGAAAAACCAGGTTTAAACGGCCATGACATCGAAGACGACGCTCTACGCCCCAAAAGAGTAAAACTCCTCAACCTAGTCACGAAAGAAATCGAAGAAATGACCGTATCTCTCATAGCTGTACTCATCGGTTCAAAACCGGATCTATTCTTCTTGCAAACAAACTTCAACCTAAACTGCATTGACGTTAAGTGCGTGAAATGCACTGACGAAACAAAACACGCGGCAAAACGGAAAATCGAAGACGACCAAAGGCAATGTTTCTTAAAAAACCATTGGCATTACCTGAAATCCGTATTAGGACAAAGCATCCAAAGCTGCAAATCTCGATATCTGAATTACACAGAAATAAACGGCAATAATACGAATTGTGACATACCGGATTGCAACAAGAATGACAAATGCACGTGTAAGGTGAAACTTGAAAACGGTGCAATCAAGACTTTGGTGGAAAAAGACTGCAGATGCGAAATCATTCCTTACTCCGACCCCTTAGAGAACAAAATTAAATGCACATGCCAGATGAATCCTTATTCCAGTGGCATAGGTTTTGGTATCGATCCCAGGAAGCCCGTTGATGGTAGAGCAAACCCAGTAGCCATTGATAAGAGCACTCATGAATTACTCAATGCACCAAAAGGGTTGTATGCCTTAGGCCCTTTGACAGCTGACAACTTTGTCAGATTCATACCAGGAGGTGCCCTAGCCATAGTCGCCAACATACACAAAGAATCCAAAATACAGTGACTTAATTTCAATGTCAAACTGCACCCAGGGAAATTGTGATTTGCAATACTTACTTTTTTTGTTTTTTATTGTAATAAATTATTTTTTTATACCCCCTCTTTCGTGATTTTATTGAAATACCCAATTTAGTAGAAAAACATATTTATTCGATTTGTAACATGATATAGAAATACATTTGATTCTCTTATGGCACATTTTGTACAATATTAATATTATTGAACAATAACTTATCACTAAGTTAAGTAAACAAAATTCAGCTTAATTAAGCTTATAATAAATTATTTCAAGGCAGTTACGAGTACAATAACAGACAATAAAACTAGCACAAATCAATAATACAGTCATGGTTACAATGATAATATGTAAACGGACATTCAGTTGTAAATAATAGAAAGTGTACCGTAAACTCATACTGAAAAGGTTTATTTTTACGCTGTTACAATATTTTTAAACGAACACACAAACTTTTGGCACTGACAGTAGCAATTGGTAGTTTGTTAAGCATTCTGGGCATTGAGATTGAACAACTGCCTAGCGCAACTTATATAACCACAGCCATTATTACGTTTACAATCAATTTAACACGAGTTCGCCCGTTAGTTCGCATCCTGGATGCAATAAGGCCACATCTCCAAAATTACAACTTTTTTATAAAAAAAAAATACGAGTCATATAATGCAACTGAATAACCCCTTTTACGTCTAGTCCCCTGATGATGGAAACTCTATAGTGGTTGGTACAGAAGGCTTTAATCAAAGATTAAAATATCTGATTCATGAAATTCTGGTGAGGGTCAAAATATTTACTGTAAGCGAAACATACATACTTAAAATAATATATCACTATTCAATTTTAGTCTCCTAAATAGATAAATAAGCATAATTAGGTACTTTAATTTAGGCATATAGATAACTTCGATTATATCCCCTTTCAATTTAAAAATCTGACCCTGTTAGTATCCCATATACATTGGAACATTCATTTGAACAAACATCAATTACATATTTATTACAACTATTAAGTATAAAGTTTGTAAATTAATAAGGTTAAAAAACATTTCCAGTAACGTTTGCAACATCTAAAGTTGTTCATTTGTAGAAAAGTTCCTGACAGAATTCATGACAAATAAATGAATGTACAATCTCCCATCTACGTATTATATGTTAGTCTAGGTCAGATACATAATGTACTTTTAATACATTATTATTTACATATGTATATGACAGATATGTACTTATTAGTAATAATTGGCTTGCAACACGTATCATGAACAGTAGAGAACATAGCAAATAGCAAACACATTTTCTACAATACATACCTACTGAGTACACAAGATGTTAAAAGAATAGATGAGGAACTTCACCCATGGCCGTGAACATCTTCTGTTTCGTAAAATATAGAAAAAATAAAATATAATAATATAAAATATAAATAAAATATAGAAAATAGATTTTTTAGGGTGTGTCAAACTGTACATATGTGTACACTAGATATTATATTTTATACATTTATACTACAAATTGCAATGTTATTTTTTATTTGATAAGGAAAATTAAATATATTATTCTATCATAAACATGAACTGACATTTTTATCTATTTATTCGTGGCTTAGGTGTAATGGAGATGTGTATAAATTTTACTATATTTACATTAACCACTTTTTCGGGTTAAAATTCTAAACTTTCCATAAATCTTTTCAATTCTTGCCCTGTAATAATTATATATTTCTATAATATACATAACATTCTAAACTAATGATAAAATTATTAAGGTACTTTGAGCAACCTCAGTCAAATTCCAATAACACAATTTTTCTATACAGTCATTATACAGGCCCACTCCAAACTCAACATTTAAACATTCCAATTTTCAATAAACATCTTAAAATAGCTGCAAATATATCGCTACACTTTTGGTTAAATTATGCATAAATAACCTTCAAAAACAATATTTAAGAGTGTTGCCAGTTTTTCATGCCTTTGGTAGAATAAAGCCACATGTGATCATATTGCACTGTTAATACAACAGTGTATGAACTCAAGGACAGTATTTTTATCACAATTGATTCACTTCCCGTGAAATATTATTAAAATTTATGTATAGGTTCAAGCTTATCACAACTTGCCAAATATATTTAAAAATTTGAGTAAAGACTGCTTTGTTCAGAACTAGCTCACAAAACGTTTGTTTGTCTCATTTTGACTTTAGTAGACAACTTTTACTTGTTTCTCACAATATTCTAACGACTGTTGTATTGATGTGAAGAGATTAAAGCTTTACGTCCATCAATAGTATAATCATGAATTTGACGTATTTAAAGTTACAACACTATTGTAAAAGCAGTGCGATATGTCAAAAGTATTTTTTCCATAGATTTAGTATATCCATAGATTGGCCCTGAAGTATTGGAGACGAGACCAAAACAAAAATACATCTGTGTGCGTATAATGTGCATATGTGCAAGATAAGTAGTGTTGCGCCATCCACTGATTTAACTTTAATATCGATTAACATATTACACCGGCATTTCACTTCGTCGTATTCACCAAAATGTCTTATCGCAAGACGCCGAGATGTTAATTAACTAATTACTTAATGATTCAATACAAAATTAAGAAAGCTACTATCACCTTCTGGCAGTGTCATAGGATGGTAGGTTAACAATGGGGACTTTCACCCAAGATAACACTATGGCTCTACAAAACGGTGATAAAACCCATGATCAGTAACACGTTTTGGTCACACAAACACATTATGTGTACCAAATTTCAAAATAATCAGACCAGTAAGTATGGAGTAAATTGGCTGTGACAGACGGACAGATGGACACACAAGTGATCTGTGCTTGCCTCTAAAGGAAAAGAATTTTTCCTGAAAGTGTTTGCTGCATATTTTTTTAAACTTTTTGGGAACCCAGTCTTCTCTCTTTAGCATTATAAGCCATTTCTGTCGTACTTCAATGTTTTGAGGAAATCTGAATCAACAACAATAATTAACATAAAAAATGAGTGCCTCAACTACGCTATTAAAAGAAATTTTCGTTTTAATGTAGACAAAAAATAATGCACTAATGCAATATTAATTAAATATAAAGTACCAAAACCAGAAATTTCTGATTCAATAATATTAAGTATGAAGATGATTTCGGCTGTATGCAAGCCTCGCCTTTGCATTTCTTTTTTTCAGTTAATGACATCTCGATAACATATTATCGATTGCATCAATCTCTATGAAAGTGGGGTTAAGAATTTCAGAAATTCACGTATTTGATATATTTTTTAATTGAATTCGTATACATTTGGGTTATTAATGCACTTGAATGGTATAATTTTACGGATATATTTATGTAAAAAACTTTTGTGGTAGTGCTTTTGGACAGCTAAAAATTTAAATAGTACTTACATGTGAAATGTACAATTCTGCGAGTTTTCCTTTTTAGATGAGTTACATCCGGGTACTGAACACGTTACCGTGACTAATAAACGTTCGCTTAATACTATTTCACATTTTAAAACCAATTATTTTTCAAAAATAAACGAGATTTGTTTCGTTGTCAGTTGACCCTAGGTTCATGCAGGCTCATAGCGTATCATGAAGTGGTCTCGTCTACCCATCTCGCTCTAACATACGTGTACACTAACGCTCTTTCACTTGCATTGCCAATCTATGGGTACCTATATACTAAATCTATGATTTTTTCTGTGTATATGTATTTTATTTATTTCAGCATAAAAAAGTTATTGACTAATTTCGTTCATAGAGCCCTTAATCTTCCCTGAAAAGTTGTAATTTTGCAGAAGTAACCCTAGTACAACAACGGTGCGTTGTATTATTGTGTGATCCTAGCTGAAGCCTGGATGACAATTGGTTTCCCACACGCATATAGACGCGTAGCGGTCGAGTTCCAGATACCAGTCCATTACATCAAGAACTGCAATGCAAGACAACGTAGTCGGGTATTCAGTACCTTTTGGTAAACCAGATGTCGCGACGAGTACCAAATAGCTATTTTTGTAACTATATAATTTGTTTTAGCACGTATGCTACCCATATTAGGAAGCGTTAATTTATAAATTAGTTTATACCAGTGATCAGAACAGGTAGAGTTTATTTACCTAAACTGGAGGAAGAGAGACAGAAAGTGGAGACTGCCTTGCGACTACACTCCCGGTATTTTCGGGATTCGTAGAGTATTTAGTGAGTAGATTAAAAAAATACGTTATTTGATAATATATTTATATATACTGGATATTTCCACCGTTCGGCCACGGAGGCAGTGTTAATACTTCTATTAACATTATACATATATTTAGTTTAGGTAAGATGCCGCTAGATGGCGTTGAACCCTTTATGCAATTTTCTAAAACGCGCTATTGAGATGTTGTTCACGGAAATTGTATAACTGCGGAGTAAATTACAAATTAAAAATTGCCCTTGGATTTGGCACATACAAGTTGTTTCATTTTTGGTACATTGAGCCGGATTATAATATTTGCTAAATAGACTCTACCTACCTATCCCAAATACCGTAAAGTTTTAATGTACCCAAGTGATTTCTCGAATACCGAAAAAATCCGGGACAAACAAATGTAGCCGTAAGGCAGTCTCCACTTCTGTCTCTGTTTATCGAAGTTTAGGTAAATAAACTCTTATTCCGGTCACTGTTTTTTCAGATTCAAGAAATGTTCATAAAATATACTAGGAACGGCATTAGTATAAATGTTGTCTAAACAAGTGGCTGTAGTAGAACTTATTATAGTAGGCATCAAGAAAAGATACACAAGATTATAAACATTGGAAAAATTTTATGAGCCTACTACTAGCACTGGAATCTTCTAATAAGTTAACTTTGTAGTCACCACAAACAACAATATATTTATTTGGATTATTTAATTTGCCTAAAACTTTATCTAATCTTTTTTCAAATAGTTCGTAAGATGAATCTGTACACGCTTAATATAACAAGTCATTCAAGCTCTATGCAGGATATCTCTATAGTCCGCTCAATAGATAGGCTCACAATATCTGTACGTTCTTTAAATTTTAAATTATTTTTAATAAGAATTAAAGAGCCGCCATGAATAGCTTTTTTTCTGCTGAACGAACTAGCCACCTGGTGATTGTTGAAGCTAAACATGAACTGATGTATTGATAAAAAGTGCTACTCAGTAATACAAATAATATCAATATTATTAGAGTTAATAAATAATTATATTTCTAACTCTGCCTTTCATGCCTTGAATATTTTGTGCACCAAGTGTAATATACAATTTATTTTATTTCTATGAGTTTTATGTTGGTTTTTTTCTGTCACTGTATTGCAAGAGTATTTCTCCGTTGTCTTATTAATTAATTTAAACAATTGGAAATTGAATTATTTTTAACAGATTGAGTAATGTCAGTAAACTGACCTATGTGGACTGCCCAATAGAAACAACCCGTCTGGTAGCCAACAATTTGGCTGAACTATTATATTATGATAGCCACTCTACTATCTGTCCCCTAAAATAACTAATAAGATAATACCTATCTTTAGTCAAATAAAAATATTTACTAATAAAATTGTTAGCATCCATAAAATGAAATTTACTATAGTGAAATGTCAAGCTGTGTAATGTTCTATTTAAGTTATGCCTAATATTATTTTCACTTGTTGTGAGGCTATTGCTGAAGGGAAAAGTGAACAAAATAATTTCTTTTATATTAATTAAATTATTTAATTGCGAAAAATATTGTATTAAATCTTTTTTGTTAGATTTTCCTCTTCTGCCAATTAATATTATGAATGTAGTATTTTGCTCAAATTTACTTGACAAAATGCTATCTAGTATTTTACACTAAGTTGCACCTGGTATGCAAATGTTTCTTAATTTAAGTCCTAGGTGGTTAAGTTGTAAACCCTATAATTTTACCCATTTCATCACTGTACATAACAATATTATTTTGAATTCCATTTGAGCTAGCTGACAAGGAGGTATTTTTTATTCCATATAAGGTTTCTGCACTAGCAATAGAGAGGGATCAGTGACACAAATGGGTGAGGAAGATTGTGTTTTTGTTTGTTCACAGTTACAAATGTGATTGCTGTAAAAGAATCAAATCTATCATTATTATATTTACATAAATCTAACAACTTATCCACAGCCAATGTGTGTTCCTTAATTTCCTGTTGAGCTGTTTCATATTTTTGAGTCATGAACTGTAATGAATTTGTTAACCTATCTAATTCTGACTGATGACGCTGTGTGTCACATTCATAACGTTGCCTATTTTCTTCAAGGTGCAACAAGTTCTGACGTTCTTTTCTTAAAGTTTTATTATTACAAAATGCTGCATTTTTCTTTATTAATTTGTTTGTGCTGGAAATATATTTATTAATTTTAACATATTGTTTTAATTTCCTTTTATTACAATTTGTAGTCAAAGCTGTTGAATTTAATGAGCGATCTTCAAAAGTCAAATCAATAGTGATTGGTTCTAATTTGGTAGGTGTTACAGCAGAGACCATAGTGAGAGTGCTGCTGACCAGCTTATCAAATAGGGACTGCACCTGCGTTGACTGATGTTCGTCTTTTGCTTGTTCCAATATTATTATTTGTGTGTAGGTCACATTCTAATGAAGATCTTCAAATGCACAGCTGTTTTGGTCAAATCCATCTACTACTAGCTGTAATTGGTCTCTTTGGTGCTGCACCTCCGTACTGTGTTCGAGTAATTCTACCATATCACTTTTTAACTACCTGTTCTTTTCTAAAATATCCAATATTTCCTTTTCACTATCGTTTCTTTCCCTTAGTAATTGCTCATTCATTGCCTTTGCTGTTTTCAGTTCTAACAAAGTCAATTGGAGTTTTTCCTCCAATTATAGATATAGATATTATTTCTTAAGACACTTTTTAAACAAGTTTACCGGGCCGGTTAACTTAACGGCTTTCACGTCACTTTGTTCACTAATAAATGTGTTAGATCAATGTGTATATACGTAAACACTGTATAAATTTAATTTGTAGGGATATTATTAAGTAGGTAATGAAATGGGTTTTTATTAGAATAACACAGAAATACTATTAAATTATGAGATAAAATTACGAAGCACTTATGTTTACAACGTAACCCTATGGAACTACAGTCGTGGAATACCTTTAATATCTTCCCTGTGAAGGATATCCTGGTAGCTTGCAATGCAATTGTTATATGAAGGTTTTTAGTTTGGTTAAATTAGTATTTATAAACTAAAAATATCTGTTATGACCTTGACTGTCCTTGCACTTTGTTGTATTAACATTAACACCGCAGCCTAATTTATTACACCTAGGCGCACTTCATGTAGATTAATTATTTAGTTTTTATATTATATTTTAAATAAGTTAGTCCTTAAATTATAAACTATTTGGGTCATAGTTGCCTCATTTAAATAAATAAATAAATTGACAGTCAGCCTAATGTTGAGCATTAAGTGGTTTAATGCCATTTATTATGACACAATATTCCAAAATTGTATTGTAATAGCTAATTATGCTGCCTTTATGAGAGAAAAATAAATATTATACGCTTTACAACCCTTCCCTAACATCAAACATTCTTTAAGCATAACGTAAAGGTATTGAAAGATAGAGGAATCAACATTTAACTATGAACATAAGGGGACTTCCCATTTTAGATGCTTATCTAACTTGTGTCGTCACAAATCACTTGTGTAAAAAAAGAAAATATGTAAGGAAATAGTAAAAAGTGTGGCAGTATTAAAATGTAATAAAAAATAAATATGCACTCACCTGTTATATTATTATGTATCAACTAAGTTTTTCATTAATTTCTCTTTGGGCATTAAAAATATCATCTTTTTTATAAGTAGCATATATTGTCCTGCTGTAGATCGTAACTAGAGCCATTAATACATGAAATCACTGAATGTACCATTAGACGATGCTGTAACAATTTTCCTTCGATTTCGAACAACATAATGTGCAGGAGTCGTCATAATTGGCAGAATAAATAGAATGTCTTTAATTAACCACAAGAGAATACAAGCAAACAGCAATTTCATGCGCGTATAACTAGGAATGTTGAACATCCAATTGAAGAAAAAACAATTTGGCTGCTCCTGTCATGGGCGCTCAATGTCTATCACTACTTCAGTATGGAGTAAATTTACCAGCTTCAGTAACTCACATTCAAGCGTCTTCGGCAGTTCCAAATACTTGACTTGTTGAGCCTTCTTGATATGAGTCGCTAGAGCCAGCAAGCAAGTTTCACGAAGACTCCTGACACCAATGGTAATGTTCCAATTTGTTCTAAATTGCATCCCACCTAAATTAACTGGCGGACGATAAATGTGACAGTTGTTGATGCAATACCTTTCCTTAGTAACTGCATCAGTGAACTCCCAGGGATGGGTTATGTATGTATTCACATCGTAGTAAGCGTCAGACTCTAAGCAAACGTAATGGTGCCTCGTACCACGAAAATCTCGCCACCAAATGTCCACAGGACGTGTTGTCTTATTCGTGAAACGAAGATAAGCACGGCTGCTGGAATCAGTCGATCTAACAAGCACCTTTTCTCCATTTCCTATAATTTCATACAATAGTCCCCGTTCCTCCACGTATTTTATGGCCATGTTGACCAACAGTGACACTAAGTTCTCCAGTTTCGAAAATGTACACAAAATGGATCCTGACAAAAATGCAACAGGATGCGCTTTCAGCGCATTATCGGCGTCATTTAAATTAAAAGTAAATCACATCAACTAAATGTTTATAGATCACCGATTTAGTTTTTTTAGTTGCGCAAATTTATTAAAAAACCACGCACTGCAAACTTCCACATTGCATGTCGAACGACAAACATTTAAAAAGATAATTCCCGCTCCCGCTAAAAATAGAAGAACGGAAACAACGATATTGATCGAGTTAGTTGCGCAATATTGGTATCACACTCTCTGTACGCCCACATCCGGTGCTAAATGTATACAAAAACAATGGCTGTGTGCGTCGCAGTTATCGGCAAAGACGTGAGTTTTTTCGTTTTTCAACACTTCCCGAGATATTTCACAATATCCTTGGCTATTATAACCATGAAACACTGAATATATGTCACGATTACGTTACAATTATGCCTAAAACCCACAACCAAAATAGTTTCTTCACGTCATGACTAATATTTGACATTTGGCCATAGACAGCAACATCTAAAAAGTTACCCAATTTATCGGGTGTACGGGATGGGCGTTACACCGATAATCATTCTCAAATTTTATTAAACTAAGTATAACCAGATTATTTAAAAAATGTTATAATTTCAGAATTCTCCACTATACGTAGGTGGAATAGGCAACGACACCAGTACAGATAACGAGCTATCCCGACAATGGCTCATCCACACGGCCTTAGATGCTCTTGAAGAAAGACTTACAAGCACCAATGCTAATAATGCAAGTGCCAACCCAAACGCAGTACGCACTGATCTCCGGGATTTGTATTTAGGATTATTATATTCCACTGATACACATAAAATGTGAGTAAATGTTTTTAAAAACTGTAGTCTGTCAAAGATGCTTAATTACTTGTGCCGGAGGGTGCCGATGCGATAAGAAGAAACGAAGAAAGTCGACCACTATCAATAATAAAATTGGTTGTTACAGCTACGGCTACGTCACAAACACACGGATAAAGCTAGTGCTAGTAACGAGCTCCACATCACCAAGTGGTAGTAACATTAGAGATGCAGAAGTGAGAACAGCTTTGCGAAGACTTCATGCACTGTACGCAGATGCAATGTGCAACCCATTTCACTTGCCAGGAGACCCTATAACGTCGTCGTAAGTTTTGGCAGTTAATGGTAGTATTGCATTAGGGAAACTCAACCTAATTTGGTATAAAAATAATAGCTCTCTTTTTTTTCTCATTAACCGAAAAGACGTTTCTTTTCGATTACTGTTACTGATACTTTTTTTAAATTAAGTCATTTATTTAATTAGAAATTAACTTGTGTGTTTTATTTATTTCAGGAAATTCGACAAGCAAGTCAAGAGCTTGATGTTAAATAATGTATAATAATGATTAATCTACTCAGTGATGAAACGGAAATAGCTATTTATTCAATTGTTATTGTCGACACGCTGTATTGTATAAACTCATACAGATTGTAACAAAAAGATCCGACCATATTGCAGCTGTGTATCATACTTGTAACATACGTTTATTACGATTGACCGCATACATGTTAAATACATGCGTACTTGTTACAAGTTCTTCTACCTTGGTTTTCAGTGATTTATTTTTTTTCCTAATTTTGTTGTTCTCGTGAGTCAATATCAGTTGATATTTAGTCAAACCTTTTTCTTACAGCCTGTATATGTAATATTAAGTATTTCTACAGAGTTGTAGTATATAATATGTTACATTGTTCGTTAAAATAAGCTGTTATGTTATAATTGGCATCTAGTTGATTATCATAAATCTACACAATGCATGTGTCTTATTTCATTGTTCCATACCAAATAATGGCAAGAAAGATATTATGTGCGTGCATGTATAAAAAAATTGTACTGGCGTAGTACGCTGTGAAACAAGGAAATTGTTTCATTTTATGGCAACACTGTAACTGTAGACAATAAATAGAGAATAGCGAATACACAACTAAATCACTATAGATTAAAATAAGTACCGACAGTGCTGCCTCTTAGTAAAACCCGTGAAAACGGGTTGGAAATAAAAATTAGACATTAACAATGTGTTATTTTTTTATTGCTCCTTTTACTTTAAACAAGCCATAAATCTTAAGGTATTGTAAAGTGTTCTTGGTTTCATACGTTTATTCATATAATCATGTTTATTCTTATTTCTAATTAATACTTCATTATATTGAACTACAGACAAAAAATGTTTCTATGCTCTTAAAAGTGCAATAAAATTTATATTTGACGTAAGGCGAGAAAAATCAAAAGCTTCGAAATTTTCAACGTGTATTAACGTCAATGTTAATACATCATAGCCATAAATCATGCCCACCCAATATCGCCAGATTATAAAGAATATCATTATTTGTGCCCCGGTCAAAAATATGAAGTTTTTATTTAGATCGTCGTATGCCATAGTCAGTTTAGTGTAAACTGTAAGAAAAGCTTGACAATTAAAGGTTTAAAAATCAATTATATGCCGGTTGCAATTAGCACGATCTACACTGTCAAGTGGGTGTTGTATCCACTAATCAGAAAGGTCTAATAGGAATGTATAATTTATAATTTGTGAGAAGTTCCCTTGACTGTAAGTTAAGGTCTATTACTCATGTTTGTCTCTAGATGGCGTCATACAATAAACTTTGACAGCTCACAAGTTTGATTCGACACACTTTATACTCTATCTTAAGTTTTTTTTCTCTTTCATGTGAATTCGTGAGGATTGTTCACCGGTTCAGCGCTGAACAATTTTTATTGGAAAAGTTGTTTATCTCGACCGGAAAAACGCGTAAACATGGTAAGGAACGCACGTTTTCTACTTAACATTTAAACATTTCTAGTTGAATTGATTGTGAGTGATTTTACTGTCAAAGTTCTTTTAGGTTAGGCTTGCACGTGTCAAGCGTCTACAACCTTATTTAATGTTTTATTTATTTTTAATTCGAATTCATTATTTCAATTACAACGCAAGAAAATCTTTGTTTTCCACTAAAACGTCACCGTTGTATAGATAGTCAAATTATAATTGGGATATAGGTATTGCCGTAGAAAATGGAATTGGTGCACATACGTGCTCTCATGGGGCTAGTTGTTTTCGCTGTGCCTATAAGCGTCTTTTTTATTTGCTATCTCGTTGCTAAATGTGCGTAACTGTAATCTGCCATCAACTGTTAACTCTGTATACTGAATTACCCATTTTTATATTACATATCACTTTCCCTGTGCATGCATCATATTATGTGGTGCATTTCGAGGTCCAAACACATACGAGGCATGACCCTTCACAAATTTAAGGATTTATCCAAATTCGCATATCGACTGTGAACTGGCAACCGGTACTATCTCAATTTTCTAAAGATTTAACTTTTTAATACCGTTTTATACTATTTCATACCTGGCAGAGTTAATAAAATATTTAAAAACTACGTATTTTTATTTAATAAAAACACCAAATGCTATATAAATGACACAAAACAATTTTCTTCTTCATTCTGTAAAGTTGTCAAAATTGAGATAGTACTAGTTGCCAGTTGATATGGAAGACAATAATAGCAATCTTGCAAATATCAAATGCAGGGAGAGACAGGAGACGCTCCTACCCAAATGTTGATGTGCCCATGGCAGTACATTCCCGTGGGGATACTGGGTGACTCTACTAGTGGCTAAAAACAATTTTTATTCAATCAAGTCATTATGCAATATCAAATCTTTAACCTCTAAGTAAGGTATGTTACTTCTATAGTTCAGAATAGGTATAGTACAGTCAGCATCACATCAAGCTACACATTTGTCGCACTGGAAGCGATATTCACACAAAAGTATAAGGCGTGATGTGCTGTTAGACAGTACATTAATCTAAACTTCTCAGAGTAACATATCAACCCCTCCTACGTAAAGTATCGTATGTCGAAATTGCCAAGTTTACAGGGGAGCGTTTTAAAGTTAAACATAACACGTGACGAGCATTTCCCAGTTTTATTCGGTAACGCTCGTTCTCACATAGAGTATTATAAAATCCCAGATTCGTCTGTTAGATGAACAACCACAATTTATTTTAAAATTAGACTCATTTCAGTGAATTGAAAACTTTAAAACGCTCCCATGTAAAGTTGTTAATTTCATCATACAATACTTTACTTAGGAGGGGTCGATATATTGAGACAATAATACCTCTCCTCTCTGCCTCTGTGTCTCAAGACGACAGACTTTGACCAGTGTGTATTACCAATGATCACATATGGATCAGAAACATTGTCCCTCAATATGAGGCTCATAGTGAGGGACAACGTTTGTTTCTGATAGCCATTGGGGCGGAAAGGTTCTTTAATGGCGACCGCGCACCGGACGACGCTCAGTAGGTAGGCCCCGCACCAGGTGCACCGATCTGGTAAAGGTCGCGGGAAGCCGATGGATGCGGGTAGCGCAGGACCGATCGTCGTGGAGGTCTATGTCCAGCATTGGGCGTCGTATGGCTGAAAGATGATGAATACCTCTCTGAAATCCAGGAATTATTGCATTATATTTTCTTCTAAATTTTTGAAACATAATTTAAGCGATTAGTTGTTGCAGTAGTGTATTTAGACAAAGGTTTGTAATTGTAAGTATAAATACAAGTGTAATTTTTATGTTTTCTGAATGTCACGTTGTTTGACCACCATGACATTCATCTAGTTTTGTGAAATTACTCCACTAGTTTGTTATAATATATAGAAAAAATTCCATCCATCCGACTGGATTCGAACAATTTTGGTCTAAGAGTTCGATCTTTGTATTAATAATTGTAAATACAACAGTTTTACTGTGACTAACCTATAGTCCAATAATATTAGCATAATACTTCAGTGGATAACATCATATATCGGACTTCTAGGAAACGAAATAGCAGACAGGCTAGCAAGGGAGGCAATTTCCCAACTGTTGAAACCATCAGGTATACTCTTTGCCACAGAACTTATCCTATTTGCAAAGGACCTAAATATGGATCAATGGGCTAAAAGTTGTGATGAGATATCTGTGACAAGGGGTATATGGTACGAAACTACCCTATAGCGTCTTCCGAGAAAGTCACTGTTAATAATTGCTTATACACTGCATTCTGATCACATTTCATTAAATAAATTTTCTTATCTCATAAAAAGAGCAGAATCCCCTCAATTGTAATGCCAATTCTGTAACAAGTTGGAAGACATGCTTCATTTAATAGAATGGGATTGATATGCGGGCTGTCGGGCCCAATGTCAATTGAAAGACATTGGTCAGGTAGGAGAACTAAATTTAATGCTAAGCACCATGTTGACAAAGAGTGCTGAAGCTCTATACTCCTATGTGAGGTGTTGCTTTCTATGAGGAGCATTACTTCTCATGGGAGTAGTGACAGATAAAGTAGGATAGTTATTTATATGTAAACATACATTACGAGGCCCGAACGTTTCAGGCCTCTTAAAACTAGACTAAAAAGAAAGAGTTTTTTTTAACTTTCATGATTCCAGGTTTTCAGACGACGGTATTACTTATTCTAGACATATAACTTGAAGTTTTAATATACTATAGATCTGTTGTATATATTTAGCTCTAGTTGTCCATACTTCTGGGGAGGGTGTAAGTGCATTAACACATATTTGAATTAGCATGTTGTTAACCAAAATAATTTGTTATGCGTTGCAGGCAGCCGCTGTAATGTCTGGCAAAGATATTGAGAAGCCGCAGGCGGAGATCTCCCCGATCCACCGCATCCGCATCACGCTTACTTCGCGTAATGTGCGCTCGCTCGAGAAGGTCTGTGCTGACCTCATCAATGGGGCCAAGAAACAGAAGTTGCGTGTCAAGGTATGTTTCTTACCCAGTTATTTGTTTCTCAATGGCTACCACATGGTGGACAATATAGTTTAGGTCTGACAAAGACCACACTGAGTCTCTGGAGGTATGTAATTTACTGCTGTTGATTGATTTCTGAATAGAGGGTCTGCTGTACAATACCTAGGTATTCTATACAATGCCTTTTTTTTTTTGACGGGGGGGTAATCTTTATGGATACCCCTGAGCCCAGGGAGACTCAGGGGTTATGTGAGGACTCTCCCTCCAGACTGGAGGGCCTACCCCACTAAAACCCCCCCGGGTTTCCCTCTCGCCGGTTGAGTCGGCGCCGTGGGATCAGTGAACATTCACCACGACGCCGCCTGGTACTATACAATGCCTAGCAAATGTGTATCATATCACACTTAAAAACAACTAATACTGGAATTCCTCAAGGTAGCGTCCTCGGTCCTTTACTATTCCTTTATATTAACGACCTTCCACATGCTATTGACCATAAATGTATACAATTTGTTGACGATACAACTCTTATAATAAAATGCGAAAACATAGCGACGTTTAACACCGACATAAATTAAGCACTGACAGATGTAATAAATTGGATGGACATTAATGACCTACGTATTAATATGATCAAAACAAATTTATGACATTTAGATCGTATAATTCGAATACCAAACCAATTAAAATTCACTACAACACCGACACTATAGATGAAGTTAACACATTTAACTTTCTTGGATTGACAATCGATAAACATCTTAACTTGTATGCATTGACTTACAAATAAATAAAAAATAAGAAAAGAAAAAAAAAATGGACGACGGGTCTAATACAAAAACCACGAAAAAAAATGTCCCAAGTCAACCTATTTAAACGTAGTGACATGTCAAGGAATATGAAAACGTTGAATTTAAATTGCAATGTCATCGCAGTACTGTCTAATTTTGCTTGCTTCGCTGTCAGTCGAACAAACGAAGACTAGAGCGTGAATGACGCTCTGTATACGATTTTAACGCCCTATAAGTTCGGACACTTTTTAGCGCGGACCCGACGTCCTTATAATTGTTAAGTCAATGCTTGTATGAGACTAAATAGATTTGTTTACGCTCTGCGAAGACTAAGGCAAATTGTCTCACGAGAAGCAGCGCTGACGGCCTATCACGGCTACGTTTTGTACGTACTCCGCTACGATCTTATACTATGGGGCAACTCAGTACATTTAGAAAGAGTGTTCAATCAAGGTTCAGAAGAAGAGTATTCGACCGATCTGTGGTGCGCGGTTCGATGATAGCTGCAAACCGTTGTTCAAAAAACTAAACATACTGCCTTTGCAATGCATGTATATAAGGGACATCCGCGTATTCATGAACACTCGACCTCAATATTTTAAAACACGTGGTGAAGTGATATAAAGGCAAACCAGAGGTAAAATCATGAATCTTTTATACCAACCTCAATGCCATAAATGAATTTATAAGAATAACTGCTTCAATATGTGCATTAAGATCATCAATAGTTTACCAAATGAATTTAAATTACTACAAGGACCTACGTTTAAATCACAATTGACAAAATGACTTATGACACATTGCTTCTATAGTGAAAAAGAATGTTTAGAATTTACAAATACTAATTTATATTGATTTGAAGTTGTTACAATTAATTTTAGAGGTCAAAATATTTAATTATAATAATAATAATAATCTTTATTTTACTCTTACAAGGGTACAAAGTTTTTACAATGTAATTTACATGAAAATGCTTAAATAATAGAGTACCTTTGCAAGAGACTGGAGTCTATACTAGGAACTAACCTGTGTGACAGATCTCCAATTCAATTAATATTTGCACACCTGCTTGTAGGTTGAATACATTGTCCCCAATTTTTATTTTCGATCTGTGTAATTACTGTATTCTGGCAAATAAACATTTTCTTTTCTTTCTTTTAAGTATGAACGGCAGCATGTCAGGCTACACATTGACGGATCTTGTTCCGTTACTCATGAGGCTATATTTGAACAAGAACGTATAACTTGATGTGCTGTTGACTGTACATTGCCTAAAGAAGCCCGGTATTGCATAGAATGACAAAATGTTCTATAGAATCCCTAATTACATATATTGTCGTTAACTAATACAAATTTTTTAAAACAACTTGACCTATTTCAATATTTATTTTTATTCACTATCATGGTGTTTTGATTATCATGATAGTCATCTCGAGTTCTTAGATTTTCGCGATTGTTACATATAGGAAATGAAACTTTATTTTTTCGGATCTAAGGCGCGTATATTTTATATATTTATATATTTTATTTATATATTTGATATATTTGTTTTTCAGTTCAGTCACAGATCAGAAAATAGTTTCATTTCCTATGATTTCCTCTAAATTATATCTATTATTGATATAAAGATTGAGACAGCAGATCGATACCTTCAATTGTACACTACGCCAAGTTTATTTATGGTCATTTTCTGTTATTTTTGGAAATGGTCATTTTTATTTTCTAATATTATGCTCCCTGACTTTCGTGAAAAAAAAAGAAAAAACAAAATTCGAAAAAAACAAAACAACGAAAAAAATGACAAAGGAAACAAGAAACAAAATAAATAATCTCTGTACAGAGTACTTACTACAAAAACCGATCTCAAAAGTTCGTAAAATTAAATCTATTTGCCACGTTTTATTAAAATCGGTTACCGGAAAGTGCACGAAACCGGATTCATCGTCTAGTTTGCCATCCTTAGAGGTGGAATATTCTCTTCAAATTTAAATGGTATCCTCTTTCCAACAAAAAAAAGAATCATCAAAATTGGTTCACAAACCGGAGTTATCGTGTAAAAAACATTTATTTTTATTTATTTTGCATTTCACATGGATGGGTGGTACAGATTTATAACCTTATGACTATATTAGTAGTTACATTCATGTGATACCCCGTAAGAGTGTAGCAAATTACACTTAAAATTAAAATTACAATTAAAATTCATTTTAGATATCCAGTTCTTAGGTTTTCGCGATTGTTACACAAGGAAATGAAACTATTTTTCCGGATTTAAATCGCGTATATTTGTTTTTTCAAACAAACCGACGTTTCGGGCCCTTTACAGGTCCCATGGTCATGGTTGACTGACAATTCATTTTAGATTTTAACATAATTGACTAACATGTATTTTTATTACTATTTATACATATATTTATTGTTATACATGACATTATTTATATTTAATTTAAAATTCCAAAAATAACTAGATTTGTATTACGATATGTTACGCTATATCATGTTAATTATTTACAATCGTCATTCAAGAACTCGCCTACAGAGTAGTAGCACTGTGATAACAGTAAATTTTTAAGTGCATGCAGCATTGAGAACCTCCTACTTTTTATATGTCAGTTAATAAAAACGAACAGGTCCAAAAACTGAGGAGGAGTTCTAAATTTTGAGTACAGGCGCTTCGCTTACCATCAGACGTACGACTTGTTCGTCGACTTGGTATCATAGCAATACCCTTTCGCTAACGGTAAAGCAAAACATCTTGATTAAACCTGCTTGTTGAAGAAGGTTCACAATGCTTGGAAAACTTGCGATATCCCTCTATATTGGGTCAGTGTGGCTGAGACAGTCCGATACAGAGAACGCCTAAGCGCGCAGATGAAAACACGCCATGTTATAATTGTCGTGTTCACCTATCGCGCGCAAAACAATCCTCTTCAAAGTGCAGTGTGCATGCCCTTTTCGTGTACGGTGCTCATGGGGGAGGTACAAAATTGACACTTTTTTATTTTTACTAAAGGCAATCTTACATATTGAGTTAATTAAAAATCGCGTAGCTGTAAATGTATCTAACTGGGTGACGAAATATCGTAGATTTCTCATAGATGGCGCTACGGCTAAAGTCTTTGAAAAACTAAAAACAAAAATACGACGCAAGCACATAGAAATAATTAGTGAGGTCCGCTGGCTCGTTCCGTGCCTTAATTGGTATAGCGTCTGGCAGTGTTCGATCTTTGTATTAATAATTTTATAACAAACTAGTAGAGTAATTTAACATAAAAATAATTGAATATCAATTCAATAAAAAATTTAAAATCACGAAGTTTTACTATCATGATATTCAATTATTTTTCGTAATTACTTCACTACTTTGTTATATGTATGACTATCACTAATTTCAGGTTTCTTACCTTGGTTTGACTTCTTGAATTTAGTGATAATCATTTAGTGAATAACCGTGAAAGCCTTAAAATATATAGTTTGTTATAATTATTAACGCAAAGATCGAACACCAAAAATTCCACCGAACTTGCCATAACCTGGCTGACAGCCACGTGCTCAATCTTTGCATAATAATTATAAGAATCTTATATTCTTACTTTAAGACTGTCCCGTACACCGTAGAGCTAGAATATTTTAGATCTCACTCCCCGTACAGGAATATCTTAAAAAAATATTTGCAAAAGTAGTATAACCGGGATACAAAATATTCAACAGCGCCGTCTAACGTCCCAACTGCGCGGCCAAGTTCGTAAACCTGGTGGTAAACAGGTAGGCGTGTGCCTACTTAGATATATAGATAAACACTTTATTCACTTATATAACACAAATACAGATTAAGCCTAAAAGAAAAAACAAAACATGATTGTCATAGTAGTGAAAGCGCGCTGACTATATAAGCCAAAGTTTCCTGAGACGCTGGTTTTCAGTCAGGACCAAGGAGATGGATTAAGTTATTTGAAAGCAAAAAATATATATGCGTAAAATTATACATTGTCAATAATAATACACATAGTAAAGTGTAAATAGTACATCTAAAATAACCTGTTTGACATGTGAGTGCATGAGTGAGTGTGAACATAATTACAGGTGTAGCAGTGAATTGTGATTGTACACAGGTTTTAACGCTGTATAATGTATTTAGTATATAATATAATTATACACATAATGTGAATAGACCAAAGTAACAACAAAATTAGATTCTAGACAGACTACGTTAAATAATAAAAACACTACACAGATACTTAAAACATTTGCAGTGTTACTTATACTTTTAAATGGCAAAGCTCTGAGGGGCAGTGCCACTGCGCCCCTGAGACATAAAATTGACATGTCCCAGGTGTCCTTAGTTTCACCAGGACCCATACTGTTCAATACCGGATCGCGGTAATGCTCACATTACACCTTGGCGGTAGGAATACTTTGGTAGCAATAATAGTTAGGAGAGGGATTTAGCGTGAATGTAATTATTAATACAAAGATGGTACACTTAGAAAACAATTCCTCGATTGATAAATGTTTTTAGTTTTTTTTAATTTTTTTAAATCATTTTTACACATTTCATGGTGATAGCCATGCGTTTTATTTTTGAAACAATAACAAATTCACAGGCGTCCCGTTCTGAGTGAAAAAAATAATGGACACGTTAGGTATATTATCTTTTTTGTGTAGTCGTAAGTGTTAATCTTTTAACCGCCACTGACTAAAACTAGTTTCGTTCCCTAGACGCAAAGCCTGTATAATGATGTGACATTTTATGAATTTCCACCTTATATTAATTCCATTCTCCTAAGTCAAAGAACATAACCGAATTTAAAATATGAGTCCATATTTAACTAGAATATACAAATAATACAAGGAATATCTTAATATTCATTTATCAATTGAAAATTACAACATTATTGTGTTTTAATCGCTTCTAGTTTATCTCAAAAGTGTAAATTTTTTACTTTCAGGGCCCAGTGCGCATGCCAACGAAAATCTTACGCATCACCACTCGCAAAACGCCCTGCGGTGAGGGTTCCAAGACGTGGGACAGGTTCCAGATGCGGATCCACAAGCGCGTGATCGACCTGCACTCGCCGAGTGAGATCGTTAAGCAGATCACCAGCATCAACATAGAGCCTGGCGTCGCCGTCGAGGTCACCATCGCCGACGCGTAGCATACCTGCCAATAAATAAGTTTATTTTGAACTCATTATGGGTGTTTTTTTTAACAAATAAGCACGCATATTTTGACCTCCATCTCACTTGACCAAAATGATGCCTCAAATGAACAATACGCCAACTTTCTTTTTTATTTTCTTTTTTTGGTTTCTTTTTTTTACAAAATTCGTTTTTTTTAAATTTTTTTTTCACAAATTTCGGGGAGCATGATATTAGTAAATAAATTAAAGCTGTTTACATTAAAAACAGAAAAAATCAAGATGGCGTCGAGTTCGTTGGAGGTATCTAAAAGTGACGATGAGTTTACCGTTCGGGAAACTAGTCTACAAGCAGGGAATTACACTTCGTAGCCGTTCGCCATATAAACGTGAAATATCCACAACATTAGGGTGTAACCCTTTTTCCACCAGGGTAAGTAGCTGATATGCACAGAATCTTTGTTCTTTGAGACACAGAAAATGCAATTTATTATAAGAGGAATAGTAATTTTTTATGAAAAATCCGGTTGATATACAAAATTTGCCATTCCCGAGGTTTAAAAGTAAAGAGAAACAAAAACTTCATACCGTTCGGCGTGTTTGTATGACAAAAATCCTATTGTAAGAATGCAAAAATCCTATTGTTTCAATCGATATGTAAGTAACCAAACAAATATTATAAATGCAAAAGTAACTGTCTCTCTTTTTCGCATTTAAACTGGAGAACCAATTTTGATGAATTTTGGTATAGAGATGGGTTGGGATATAGGCTACTTTTGTCCCAAAAATAAATTTTATAGGGGGTGAAATAGGGAATGAAAGTTTGTATATTTCTTTGTAATTTTCATAGTTTTATTGGTTTTATAAAACTATGAAAATTAGTATAGTACTGTAGGCTACTCAAAGTAGGTACTTATTCTACGTAGACGAAGTTGCGGCCCCGGTTACTTTGAACTAAATGTTCAAAATGATAAATGTGTACAAATGTTTGTTTATGAAGAGTATTCCCTAGAGTTTCTTGCTCATTCTTGTCGGGAAACTGTCTTGCGAATGAGCAGTAGAGATCAATATGACGACTTCAAGTGTAATTTTTCTTATGAATTATTATGAAATAAAGATTTTGAAAAAATCACACATGATATATCGGTAAAGGGCACTTTTGGTTTATTTGAATTTGAAGCAGCGCCATCTACCTGCACCAGCCTTTTATTCTAGCCTAAATAGTAACCTATAACTAGTAAATACTTCACCTACCGCCACTAGATGGCATTGTAATGTAACCAATAATATTAGTAGATGGCGCTATTTATGATCAATTACAATTATTTAGGTATACTCAGTTACACATGGAAATGAATCTGCAAGTTAACAAATACGTTAAAGTTTCATATAATCGAACTAGCAATAAAACTGCATTTAAGTATAAGTTCCTGTGTACTTTTAAAAACGGCGATTGTTTTCTTAAGTTGGCAGCACTGCAATATAATCGGCTACCCAGATTGATCCAGAATGTTGATTATTAAGATGTCTACAAGTATAAGTCACGCAAGATGAAGTAGACAGTATTCAATAGTCAATTTACACTCGTTAAACACGTAGTGTCCAGTATTTTATAATTCATTTGTAAAGTTGATTCAATAAATATACCCGTTAAGTACGTACAATACACAACCAGTAGGATTATAAATGCACGTGGGAAAAACCTTAATTCCAGGTAAGGTAACCTTAATTCCATTCAACTACCTGCCGTGCTGTTATAAAAAATATTTTTGAGGTAGGTAGTCAATTTAGTCAACACATTTCTAAAGGGAGCTACTCCTATTCGCCATTATTCGTAGTGCTGATCCTATTAATTAATTAAATAAATTTAATTAAATTTTTATTGAATTTATATTCATTTATTTTTTGTGAAATTACTCCACTAGTTTGTTATAATTATTAATACAAAGATTGAACACTCAGAAAAAACACTCAGAAAAAAATCCTTCGATCGATCTTTGTATTAATAATTAGTATAACAAACTAGTGGAGTAATTTCACAAAAAATAAATTAATATAAATTCAATAAAAATTTAATTAATACAGTGAATAGCGACATCTCTCGCCAGGACTGGTAGCTGTAAAGGTACTAACTGGGTGATAAATCTGTAATAGATTTCTCATAGATGGCGCTACGACTAAAAAGTCGTTGAAAGACCAAGTACAAAGACACGACGCCAACACATAGAAAAATTCGTGAGGTCCGTTGGTTCGTTCCGTGGCTTAGTTGGTATAGCGTCTGGCACAGTATGCAAGAAGACGTCGGTTCGAATCCGACCGGATCGAAGGAATTTTTTCTGAGTTCGATCTTTGTATTAATAATTATAATAAATAAATTTATTTCAGTCATTACCGTGATTATAACACTGATTAAAATAAGTGACGGTTTAGTCGACATATTTCAACTTCGATCCTCGATTTCACTGATCGTCCCATCACTGGTTCAGCGAGTTTGACAAGTCGACTGTGAACTGGCAATCGGTACTATCTCAATTTTAACAACTTTACAGGTGAAGAAAAACTCGTTTGCGTCATTTATATAGCATCTGGTTTTGTAAAGAAAAATACGTAGTTTTAAAATATTTTTATTACACACGTATGTACGTACACTGCGTATTTTTATTTAATAAACCGGATGCTGTCTATATTATTTTTTCTGCACCTGTAAAGTTGTCAAAATTGAGATATTACCGGTTGTCAGTGCACAGTCGATGTGTCATTTAATTATAAATGACACATGTCAAACTCGCAAGCTAGCTTGGACGGAGTATATGTATTTTTTTAAAATAACGCACACCATAGCCCCACGCTAGGGAAACCCTGTATAGCGGGTACCATGGACACATATATAGACAACCACAAATTACACCCAAACTCATGAAAGAAATAAATGTAGGCCATACAAATATGTCACTCCGCTCGCGAATCGAGGCAGTGACAGTGGAGGAGGTAATGACACAAATTACTTAATCCGTGATTATCATGGGAACAGCAGCTTGATTTAGAGCATAGATTCCCAAATTTTTTGTCTCACCGCCCACTTAGGCAAGATAAACAATTTTCAACGCTCTCTGCCACGAAAAATAATTGACAGCACTTATTTTTT